AAATTATTAGCCTAAATTAGGTCCTTAGTAGAGTCTGATTTGTAAAAAGCTTACAATTTGTAATCAAAATTGACTCAATGAGTTTGAATATATTTTATACTTTTGGTACTTTTTCTCTCCGTAGCGAATATTTTCTAAAAAAGTACCTATAACAATAAATCTTCGAATTTCCTAAAAGTACCAAACTTATATTTGTAATTCCCGGGATTTGCTATTGCGGAAATTCCAGTGAATAACACTACTTGAGAAGCTAATGTATGATATAGGTTTAAAATAGTTTGTTATTAACTTTTGCTTGTTTTGAAGTTGTTTGTTTCTAATTGGAATGCAAGCACATTTTTAAAATTGTTGCAATTTTTTAATGTAAATAGTTTTTGTCAATATATTGTTCGTAATTCTTAAAATATTTTGGGTGATTCATTTCTTCATCATCATTACTATCAATTCACCGATGAAACGACATTTCACTAATATGTAACCACGTGGTTAAGTCCAACTTGTATGTATTGAGTCATTTGTAGTATGATATTAATATTAACATCAGGGAGATTTTCGGAAAATTGACTTTAATAGACATTTGTGTCAATTATGGACCGAACTCAACATAATTCTAGAGGATCCTTTATTTCTTATAACAAATCATTTTTGTCGACTTTTCTCTTAATATTTACCACGACTGTTAAATGTTTTTTTGGTAATAAACTGCGTTATCTATCTATATGAAATATCAGAGATTTTGGTTCTTATAAAACTTGTTTAAGTCGGTATTTGTAAGCCACTTATGAACAATAAAATCGTGGGACCTCATATGGGGCTAGGGTCAAATAATCTATTAATATAGTATATTTTTTGCTAGATCGTCTTAGAATATATATTTTTATAAGTCTATGTTCGATATTTCGATGTGTTACAAAAGAAATGTATATCCACACAGAATTCGTAGTGATTGGGTTAGGTTTGATGTGTCCACTCAGATCCCGTTTGTCCACTCAGAATACGTACCATCATATTAACCTCAGACTTGCTCATTTTGAGGAGGCTTCTCGTTAGGTTCGTCCCATAGGATTTTTGTGTTTCTAACCCACGTTTCATTAAGTATTCCAAAATACCTTATGGGTTTCGTTTCGTCGAATGGTTTTACGTTCATCAGCTCAACTACCTTACCTCTAGGAGAGTATTTGGTTAGTGCTTTCTTACAATCTAATACAGTCTTATATTTTACATTATCATCTGATATCATCCTAATTTCCTTCTGGCTGTCGGTAAATATGTAAAGGCCTGCGGGAGCCATATTTATTCTAATTTAATTTACGCATTGCTCGGACTTCTACCTGGAAGCTAATATTGTGATTATGTAAACATTGGTATATTTCTATTTCTGGGTCTTCAATATAGAATCCCAGGCCCACTTTGTTCTCCAATTTGAGCCATCCGTGCAGCAACGGATTCCCACATGTATTTCCTCTAATGTTCCGCTTAACCAAGACATTTTATCCGGGATCAGTGTTCCAAAGGCACGTCGGATGATTTTGTATAGTCTTCTAATGTGTCCAGTATACATTTATGAGGTGTCCTATAACCGCCAGTTCGCCTAAAGTTATGAGCCGTTCGGCTGTAAGTGCAGCGTTTTTAAAGCCTTGGTTGACCACTTATACCCATGCACCATGTATACATGAGTAAAGAGCACAAAATGTCACCGTGTCACAAAAATGGTGACCGTGAAATACCATTTTCCTCATAGTTATATCGTACATCATTCAGCTTATCCACATGTTCCTTAGCATATAGTTGATCCAGTTACGGAGCACCTGGTCAACATGAAACTAGTCTAAGGATTGTATAATAGTATCAGTTAGGATCATTGAATCCTCCTTAGGAGATACAGTAATCTCTATAAAAGCTTTAAGAGGTACTCCACAAGGGGGAGTACTATCACCACTCTTATGGAACATGGCCATAAATGATAATCTCTCTTGGCTATAAAACAGTCGCCTATGCTGATGACGTCGCGGTAGCGGTATCAGGCGATCATCTTGAAACCATATCCCAAAGGCTAGAACAAGCACTAAAGATCATTAGCTCGTGGAGTGTCGAATGTGGTCTTAGTGTAAATCCTAGTAAAACGGAACTTGTACTATTCTCTAGCAAATACAAGATTCCTTTATTTCCTCTTCCTTGCCTAAACGGCGAAGTATTAAAACTCTCGGACAGCGCTAAATATCTGGGCGTTATCCTTGATAAGAAGCTATCTTGGAGTACAAACGTACTTTCTAGGGCATCTAAAGCCATTACGGCACTATATGTTTGTAGGAAGGCCATAGGAACATGCTGGGGCATAAATCCAATGAATGTTCACTGGCTCTTTGAGGCAGTTATTAAACCTATTATGCTATATGGGGTTGTTGTCTGGTGGCAGGCGCTTGAAAAGGCTTCACTCAGACAACAACTGGAAAAAGTAATGAGATCAACTGCGCTTCTTATCACAGGCGCTCTCAGAACAACTCCTTCGAAGGCGCTGTTCACTATGCTCAACTGGCTCTCGGTCGATCTCCTTGCAAGGAAATTGGCTATGTCAACTGCGGCCAGATTGAGTGTAACTGGCAAGTGGAAACAATGCTCCATAGGCCATGCTAGGATCATAGATCTTATACCGAATAATCAGTACATTGTTGATTATTGTATTCCGGTACCGTCTCTAGTGAGAAAGTTCCAATATTATATCTCTTCGGAGTCTGAAGAATCTCTCCTTCCGCCAAATAATTGCTTCCGAGTGTATACAGACGGATCCAAGACGACGAAAAGAGTTGGTGGTGGCATTTTCATTGAGGAATTTGGAACGAAAATCTCCTTCCGACTTAATGATGAATGTAGTATCCTTCAGGCTGAAATATCGGCGATAAGGAGGGCGGTAAATTGGCTAAGGTACTATCGGATATCTAACAGGGATATCAGAATTTATACTGATAGTCAAGCTGCTATTAAATCCCTAACTGGTGTGTTCTCCACATCCAAAATTGTCCATGAATGCCGGACGTCTCTCAATGAGATGGCGAGGCATTCGAACATCACCCTAATTTGGGTAAAGGGACATGGGATTTCGTATGGCAACGGTATTGCTGACACCTTGGCAAGAGCTGGCACTATGCTTAGCAGAATGGATATAGATCAGTTCTGCGGTATACCACTACTTGCAATTAAGAGGCAAATCAGTGAAAAATGCCTCTGCATTGCTCGCGACAAATGGTCGCGTGAACACACGTGCTCAACATGTAGAGTACTGTGGCCACAAATGGATCCTCAAAGGTCTAAATATCTTCTTGAACTCCAAAGACCGCAGTTAAGTAGGCTGATATCGATAATCACTGGCCACTGTAAATTTGGGAACCATGCCAGACGCATTGGTCTCCCGTTCAACGATTACTGTAGGAGTTGTCAAAACGAGGATGAAGAAGAGACTATTACTCATCTTCTCTGCGATTGTCCTGCTTTGGCGGAGGCCCGTTTTCAGACGCTTGGATCGACCTATTTTGGTGATCTAACCGAATTGTCAAACATTCAATTAGAACGTCTTCTAGAGTTCATTAATTTGTCAAAATGGGTGTGAATCCTATTACTCACACTACTCATCCACGGCAGCTGCCCTGGCTTTCTCATTTCTCATCATCTCCTTCTCTTTGCAACTGTCTCTGTTCTTTCACTCTCCCCTATTTCTCCCTCTCTTCTCTTTTCTTTTTCTTACAGGTATTTTTACAAAGGGATCAACATGGACCCAAGTAAAGCCGAAATTGGCTACCTGTGAAAACCTAACCTATCAGTGTGCTCGGTATTGAAGGCGCCTTCAATGCATACCGCCAGTGTATATAGTTTTCTTTTTAGGTTCTTAGGAACAATTCTAGAACCAGCTTTTTTAAGAGATTTTTGTTTGAATTATACAGGCCAACAAATATTAAGTTAAGATATCTCGAAGAAGGAAGATGGGATGGGACAGATAACACTTTCAGATGACATAACAGATTTTTATCAATAAAGGTGTCTTCTTATAACGACACAAATATAGCTAAAAAAGAGGATTTTTCAGTTTTAGAACACTATATATTATATAACTGATTTGATAGATATATTATGAGACCATATTCGGATTAAGCGATGCTCAATCCTTTGGTCTATGGGTTAAAAATTTGATGGCCTGTATTATATTTATTCAAAGCACGTCGAAAAAAGCTTTCTGAAAATGAGGTTAGAATGATGGGCATTCTAACTTGGACGAGTGGGGTCGGATGAATGTAGAGTATGTGAAGAGTGCAGTGTCCTATTGAGTAGTATATAAAAATGAAAGTTCCATTCAAAATATATCAAGTAATTACGGATGTATACAACTAAATTTAATCGTTTCCCATAAAATTCTATTAAAAATAAATATTAAGTTTAAATTACAGAAATATTTAATCTCGAGAGGAAATAGATTAAAAGTTAATAACAACTTCCCCTTTTCCAAACGGAACATTATAATTAGTTTAAAATTCTTGAGCCCCTATTTCAAGTGCAACTCAAAAAGTGCATAACAACAGTTAATACAACAGTTTTAGAATATAAAACAAAAAACCACCAATGTTTTTATAAAAAATCATTTATAAAAAACTTCTACTTACCCCCATTTCTACCATAAAAAGTATTCATGGTATTTAAGTCAAGTATTAATACAATCTGGTCTATATCTAGTCTATATTTTAATTTCTTTCTTCACCCATTATTGCTGGAAGTCTGCACATATAGTACAGTTGGCCTACATACACTTGTGACTAGAGTTTAAAGTCAATAGAAAATATAATAGATAAGAACCACCACCACCTCCGAGTATTTTTATATAGTACGACTAACTCACGGCTCAATGGGCGGTCATTTTGGTAAAGTTTATTATTAGCAATTGGAAAATGTTTGTAATCAACTTGAAATCTTCATTAAACAAAGTAGTATAAAAGCTAATGAAAATTTGAATTTGTATAACAGTTTTTCATTGAACTACCTCAAGTGTACTTGTAGTAATCAGTTTCGGAATAACGCGAAATCGCAGTTAATTATTCAAAATGTTTAGATACGTTTTAATAGCAGCAGTATTATGTCTGACTATATTCGTCCTAGAGGTACAAGGTAGAGGTTGTTTAATACCCAAAACTAAACAAAAAAGATCAGTGGATTATGAAGTGGGGCGACCACGTTTGGATGGTCGTATTGTGGGCGGTTATAAAATCAATATTACCGATGCTCCTCATCAAATATCGTTACAAACTTCGGGTCATATTTGCGGTGGTTCTATCATTTCACCACAATGGATTTTAACAGCAGCTCATTGCACCGAGTAAGTCTTTATAACTTACTAGATAACTAGGACCAGTACTATTCTAATGAAAACTTTATTTAACCTTTCAGAGGCCGCACAGCTTCTCGCATGAAGGTTCGTGTTGGTTCTTCAGAATCCGCCAAGGGTGGTGAACTTATACAGGTGGCCGAAATTGTCCAGCACAAACAATTCAATTACACGAATGTTGATTACGATTATTCGCTCCTAAAACTCACGAAAGAAATTGAATTTGACGATACCAAGAAAGCTGTAAAACTACCCGATGTCAAAGATGATTTCATGGATGGTGATACTTGTTTTGTAACCGGTTGGGGCAATACTCAAACCTCAGCCGAATCCCGCGAATGGTTGCGTCAGGCTGAAGTGCCCATTTTTAATCAGGAAGAATGTTCAGATAAATATAAGAAATTCGGTGGTATTACTGAACGTATGATTTGTGCCGGCTACATTGAGGGTGGCAAGGATGCCTGTCAGGGTGATTCTGGTGGTCCTTTGGTAAATGAATCTGGTGTTTTAGTGGGTGTTGTTTCGTGGGGTTATGGTTGTGCTAAACCTGATTATCCGGGTGTTTATTCTAGAGTTACTTCTGTGCGCGATTGGATTCGTACAAATAGTGGAGTTTGAGAAATTTGTTATAGAGAAAATTGTTGAAAATATTATGTTGCATCTTTTTGAATAAAATTAAATTTAAATAAAAATCCTTGGTTTTGATTTAACTCGTTCAGACTAATGATTTTTTAGAAATTTTTACCTCAATAACTAGATTTGTGAAATGATTATTAGGTCAAGATACGCTACATAGAACGGTTCTGAAACTAGTTCTTTCAAAACTGATTGTTGATCTAACTCATTAGAGTGGTGGCGTATTGAGTGGAATCTTCAAAATATACTTTGATGATTTCCATACCGTTAGCTCGAGTACTTTAGCAAAGTGGTCCGCCTTGTCCAAAATTGTCACTTACGCCTTCTTTGCAAGTCACAAAGGGGCGGTGGTGAGTCATTCCTCACCCTTAAAATATACTTTATATTTTAGCAATCTTTTATTAGTAGATTTTCCATAGAAAAGTCCTCTTATAAAACGTGCAAAATTCAAATTTTTTCACCTTATTTGGCAGACATTTCCATTTAACTATAAAATTTGAAATGCAACAGGTGCCATTTCAGCAACACACATCCTTATAAATTAAAGGCAGATATTCTGTCGATATTGTTTTATTTGCACATTCACTCTCTAATAAAAGTTTCCATCTCACGTTTTATAAAACACTTTCAACAGGTTTGTTGACATAACATCGCCGCCTCCACAAGTGAGTGTGTGTGTGTGTGTGTGTGTGGAAACCAACTGCGTTGGAAATATTGCATGCATCAGCACTATTTAAACTTAAGAAAAAGTTTCCTTTCAAATCGCTAACACTGTGTGGGAATGTGTTACTAGGACAACCAGTAATCATCAGAAACATCCCACATACGACCAATTCAAAGGAAAACTTTTGAAGAAAGAGGAATAAAATCAATGTCAAGTGCAATGTTTTGAAAAGTTTTCTGAAAAATAAATAGGGGGAAAAAACTAAACTGAACACATTAACTTTTCTTACAGTTTTCAGGTGCAATAAGATTGTTACACTCGAATAAATATTTAGTCAGAAGTATTAGGTAGGTAGGTTGATAGGAGGATGAATATTACTTCAAATCCGAAGAAATACACCTAGGCCACTATCGGGCCTGTTGTGCGCTCCTTATCATGGAAAAAAGGGAACTGAATGAATTATTTTTTAGTGTTCATAAACTCAGTTTCCTGAACGTAATTCCTAAGAATCTTCCACTCAGTGTTAGTCAGGAATGTTATTTCCGGAATAACATCACTTCCAAGATACTTGGATCTAACTTCGACGAATGCCTGGCAGTGGCAAAGAAAGGGCTCCAGAGTTTCACTGTCCTCTCCACATGCGTCGAATGGTTTCGCGTTTGTCAGGTTAACTGCCTCGAGCTCCCTACCTTTTAAAGCTATTATATTCGCCCTTTCGTTACCGACAACTCCCGAGTGGGCTGGTACCCATATGATGTGAACCTTACCTCTGTTAGAGTATTCAGTTAAAGCTTTCTTACAATCCACTACGGTCTTAGATTTAGTTCTATCACCTAATATCGCCCTAATTGCCTTCTGGCTATCGGTAGTCAGAAGCATTAAAGTTTGCCATTGATTACCCCTCGTGGGAAACTAATTACTTGGTTATGTGCTAGTCTAATGATTGTGGGCTTTTGAGTTCGATTTTCATCTAAAAGCATGGAAAGGAATTTCTGGTTATTTTTAAGGCATGGAACATTTAAATTTTAAAATACATAATAGGAAAATAATGGGAAAATGGAAAATTTAACAACTCCCACCAAACCGTAAATGTTTAATACAAAATAGAAAAAAATGAGGAAAAAGGAAAGAAAAAAAGGAAAAGGGAAAAGAAAGATAGAAAAAGTTAACTTTTTAAAAATGTTATTGCTCTAGACTAGACTATAGAATATGTGTAGTCTATAGTCTAGTGTAAAGTCTAGTCTATAGTCTAGTCTAAAGTCTAGTCTATAGTCTAGTCTATAGTCTAGTCTATAGTCTAGTCTAGTCTATAGTCTAGTATATAGTCTAGTCTATAGTCTAGTCTACAGTCTAGTCTATAGTCTAGTCTATAGTCTAGTCTATAGTCTAGTCTATAGTCTAGTCTATAGTCTAGTCTATAGTCTAGTCTATAGTCTAGTCTATAGTCTAGTCTAAAGTCTAGTCTATAGTCTAGTCTATAGTCTAGTCTAAGGTCTAGTCTATAGTCTAGTCTATAGTCTAGTCTAAAGTCTAGTCTAAAGTCTAGTCTAAAGTCTAGTCTAAAGTCTAGTCTATAGTCTAGTCTATAGTCTAGTCTATAGTCTAGTCTATAGTCTAGTCTATAGTCTAGTCTATAGTCTAGTCTATAGTCTAGTCTAGTCTATAGTCTAGTCTATAGTCTAGTCTAGTCTATAGTCTAGTCTATAGTCTAGTCTATAGTCTAGTCTATAGTCTAGTCTATAGTCTAGTCTATAGTCTAGTCTATAGTCTAGTCTATAGTCTAGTCTATAGTCTAGTCTATAGTCTAGTCTATAGTCTAGTCTATCTCTAGTCTATAGTCTAGTCTATAGTCTAGTCTATAGTCTAGTCTATAGTCTAGTCTATAGTCTAGTCTATAGTCTAGTCTATAGTCTAGTCTATAGTCTAGTCTATAGTCTAGTCTATAGTCTAGTCTATAGTCTAGTCTATAGTCTAGTCTATAGTCTAGTCTATAGTCTAGTCTATAGTCTAGTCTATAGTCTAGTCTATAGTCTAGTCTATAGTCTAGTCTATAGTCTAGTCTATAGTCTAGTCTATAGTCTAGTCTATAGTCTAGTCTATAGTCTAGTCTATAGTCTAGTCTATAGTCTAGTCTATAGTCTAGTCTATAGTCTAGTCTATAGTCTAGTCTATAGTCTAGTCTATAGTCTAGTCTATAGTCTAGTCTATAGTCTAGTCTATAGTCTAGTCTATAGTCTAGTCTAGTCTAGTCTATAGTCTAGTCTATAGTCTCGTCTATAGTCTATAGTCTAGTCTATAGTCTCGTCTATAGTCTAGTCTATAGTCTAGTCTATAGTCTAGTCTATAGTCTAGTCTATAGTCTAGTCTAGTCTATAGTCTAGTCTATAGTCTAGTCTATAGTCTAGTCTATAGTCTAGTCTATAGTCTAGTTTATAGTCTAGTCTATAGTCTAGTCTATAGTCTAGTCTATAGTCTAGTCTATAGTCTAGTCTATAGTCTAGTCTATAGTCTAAGTCTAGTCTATAGTCTAGTCTATAGTCTAGTCTATAGTCTAGTCTATAGTCTAGTCTATAGTCTAGTCTATAGTCTAGTCTATATCTAGTCTATAGTCTAGTCTATAGTCTAGTCTATTAGTCTAGTCTATAGTCTAGTCTATATAGTCTAGTCTATAGTCTAGTCTATAGTCTAGTCTATAGTCTAGTCTATAGTCTAGTCTATAGTCTAGTCTAGTCCTAGTCTAGTCTAGTCTAGTCTAGTCTAGTCTAGTCTAGGTCTAGTCTAGTCTAGTCTAGTCCTAGTCTATAGTCTAGTCTAGTCTAGTCTATAGTCTAGTCCTAGTCTAGTCTATAGTCTAGTCTATAGTCTAGTCTATAGTCTAGTCTATAGTCTAGCCTATAGTCTAGTCTATAGTCTAGTCTATAGTCTAGTCTATAGTCCTAGTCTATAGTCTAGTCTATAGTCTAGTCTATAGTCTAGTCTATAGTCTAGTCTATAGTCTAGTCTATAGTCTAGTCTATAGTCTAGTCTATAGTCTAGTCTAGTCTAGTCTATAGTCTAGTCTATAGTCTAGTGTATAGTCTAGTCTGTAGTCTAGTCTATAGTCTAGTCTATAGTATAGTGTATAGTCTAGACTATAGTCTAGTCTATAGTCTAGTATATAGTCTAGTCTATAGTCTAGTATTTAGTCTAGTCTATCGTCTAGTCTATAGTCTGATCTATAGTCTAATCTATAGTCTAGTATATAGTATAGTCTATGGCCTAGTCTATAGTATAGTCTATAGTCTAGTCTATAGTAAAGTCTAAAGTCTATTATCTAGTCTATAGCCTAGTCTATAGTCTAGACAATAGTAAAGTCTAGTCTATAGGCTAGTCTATAGTCTAGTCTGTAGTCTAGTCTATAGTCTAGTCTATAGTCTAGTCCTTAGTCTAGTCCTTAGTCTAGTCTATAGTCTAGGCTATAGTCTAGTCTAGGCTATAGTCTAGTCTATAGTCTACGCTATGGTCCAGTCCAGTCTATAGTCTAGTCTATAGTTTAGTCTATAGTCTAGTCTTAGTCTGGTATATTGTCTAGTCTGTAGTCTGGCCTATAGTTTTGTTTATAGTCATGTCTAAGTTCCAGTCTGTAGTCTAGTACTATAGACTAGACAATAGTCTAAATTATATGTATACTAGACTAATCCGGTCTATTTCTAGTCTTTAGTGCGGTTAAAAAAAAAATTAAAATTTAAAGAACTACGTTCAGAAAAGTACTATTCCGAACATCGGACGATAATACCTTCAGCCTTGACATAAGTGTTTTTCACCAAAATCTGTCCATGAATATAAGAGTACAACAGGCCTGATAGCCACCCTGATATAGTTTTTCGGATCTAATAATAAATAATACATTCCTTCAACCTAGCCTATCTATACTGACAGCCGATGTAAGGTATCATATCATATCATTCTTCATTGTGATTAAGTGGTTATAATATTTCAATCAAACAAATTGCAACTTTGTATAAAGATGCTATTTATATTTTATAATATGAATAATTAAAATATTTTTATGTATATTACAATTAATAAGATGTAAATATTATGCCCTATAGTAATTAATAGATTAGAGATTGGTTTAAGCCGATATTTAAACATCGTGATAAAATATGCATGTAAATAAAACATATATATGATGATCGGTTCATTTTGAAAATTGTTCTATTAATAATCAAAATATGACTTTTTTATGAAAGATTTAAAACAGGTTTAAATCATTTGATTTTGAAGGGGGTTTAAATTCGACTATGACAAGTGATTGTGGTTTTCTCTGTAATAAAAACGTTTATAAATTGTTTCAGTCTTTATAAGAGAATTGCAGTGAATCTTATTAAAACGAAGAAAATGCAGCATTTTGTTGGTATTGCAGTGATCTTACTACTAACATTTTTCAAATGGTCACAAGGCATTAAATTAGTGTGTTATTATGACATGTCAAGTGCCAGTAGAGTGGGTATGTATCCAAATAATTTATTTTTACTACTATGTATTGGTAATACTATGTACACATTTTCTTTTTCACTATGGGTCGAGCAAAATTTACTTCTCAAGATATGGAACTTGCTTTGAGTTATTGTACTCATGTTATATACAGTTATGTGACCATAACACCGGATAAATTAATCCTTACGGCTCAAATGCCCGAAAAGGAACAGGAACTAGCCAATATGCAATATTTTAAAAATAAATATCCCAATGTTAAGTTTCTTCTTAGTATTAGCGGTGAAAATAATGACAAAACTACTAAGAGTTTTTTACAACTATTAGAAGATCGGCAGGCCACGAAAATTTTAATTAAATCACTAATGGATGTGTTAATCAAATATAAATTTGATGGCTTAAGTTTGGATTTCCCCTTACCGACAGTATTGCCTACTAAACCGCGTCACACTAAAGCAACGGTTCCCAAATGGGGGTCCGCGGACCCCTAGTGGTCCGTAGTAAAATCCTAGGGGGTCCGCGAAGACGAACGAAAAAAACCATGAATAAACAATATTCTGCTTTTATATGTATGTACAAATATATCCAATTTTTGTGCAATAATCCCAAATTTTTTGGTGACTTTTTGAATTTTATTTTTTCGGTTGTTTATCAGGAAGAAGCTAGTCCCTACAAATTTATTGTATAACTTTTATAAAGTAAAGTACTGCGTGATTTGTAATTTTTATTTCCTGTATATGTACTGAAATAATGGTTTTTATTTCAGACAAATAATACTCTGCCTTACAATTAAATTAGGGATACTGGTATTCCAGAGTATGAAGTTCAATTCAAATACAAGCTTATTACAGATTTAAGTTTATCAAATTGTAAGCAAAAATGTTCTCGTTTGAAAGGACAACAATTATATATTTCCAAAACAGAGGTGACTCTTTATGCATCTCTTTATAAATATTACAATCCGACGTGATACACAGATTTTAACTTGATTTTGTCGACCAATACATATTATTAAATTAACATCAGAAAATCCATAGCGTTTCGCGTAAATATGTAGCCAAAAACCATGAAGTAAAATAATTCGTTGGTATTTTAAAATTCAAATTTAAGTTCCAAATTCACACTACTTTAACAAAGAGTTCAAATCATATATTATGCGGATAACGCATTCCGCAACAACATAGAAGAAGTCCAACTTTCTTATATTATTTTCCCGAAAACTTAGCTCACTTACTCAGTTCACCCTTTGCAATCGCAACAAATTTTTGAAACGTGACTCCTTAAGCACATGTGACAATATTTGATAAAGAAACCTTTTCGCTACCTTGAAGAAAAATGAACATGAAAGATCTCACGATCATAAAATTAAACATCATGTTAACATATCAACAAAGAAGTCATTCTATCTTCAAAACATGCAATTGAAAACCTATCTGAAATATTATATATTCTCAATGTACGGGAAAAAAAATATGTATGGGGGTCCGCGAAATTAAATAAGCTCTTCAAGGGGTCCGCGAAGTAAAAATCTGTGGGAACCGCTGCACTAAAGTGTGGAATTTTTTTATTAGTTTATTTAAAATTCATCATTTTGATACTGATCCTAAATATATGGAACACAGAGATCAGCTAACGATTCTGATACAACTATTAAAAGCCCATTTTAATGAACGCAATCTTATGCTGACATTGAACGTATTACCCAATGTAGATTCGAGAAGTAAATACTTATTTATTTATACCTAAACTTATTCCTACATAAACATTAATATTTTTCAGAATATTTTGATATCCCTGAGATTATAAATTATTTAGACTTTGTTATTCTATCGGCATTTGATTTTTGTACACCTCAACGTAATCCCCTAGAAGCTAATTTCATGTCACCTATAAAAATTCCAAAATCCGCAACACTTCCACATAACAGTGATTTGTCTTTGGGAAATATTAAAGATTTTTATAAATTCTGGCATTCGCAAAATGTACCGCGACACAAAATCGTTATTGGTGTTGCTGCTTACGGTCGTTCTTGGAAAATGACAAAATATTCGAATAGTAATGGTGTGCCTCCAGTTTACTATACGGATGGACCAGCTACTGCTGGCCCCCAAACCTATACGCCTGGATTTCTATCTTATCCTGAGATATGTGAAAAGTTAAGTGATTCTCAGTTAAGAAATGTAACTGATCCTAAAGCAAAATCTGGTGTTTATGCTTTTCGTCCGGCAGATAGTCATGGTCATTTTGGTATTTGGATTAGTTATGAAGACTATATAACGGCTGGAGCGAAAGCAAATTATATACGAAATCATAATTTAGGTGGTGTTGCTTTAATCGATTTGAGTTTAGATGATATACACGGTGTGTGTAATGGTGAAAAATTTCCCATATTGAAATCAATTAGATTAAGATTGACTGAAACACATTCTTGAGAAAACTGCAAAATTTTTATAAATAATTGTTTCTTTTTAATGTAATTTTTTGTATTTGCAATATGTGTTATTGAATACTAAATATACCCAGTGTGCTTTGCCACCCTAAAAACAATATAGTAAATAAAATATCCACTTTACGATATTTGATATACAATTTTCACTTTCATTTATTTCATATGGGAGATGCCACGCCTACTATTGCAAGTTTTTTTTCCACGTTAATTTGGACTTTAAAATAACCTATGAAATATTATAATAATCTAGTAGTTTCCTAGACATACGAATGGCAGGTGCCAAGCACCCTATTGAAAGTCCTCCCATTTTTCTCAAAATGTTCAAATGAATGCCAAAGTTTTTCGTTCAAAATTTGAGAATTCTATCTCTAATGGTTTCTCAGATTTAATTAATATGGGGGTTCTAAGCCGCCCCTAAATGTTTAGATGAATATTAAAAATCTTCGTGCAAAATATGAAAAATCTTGTTCTATAACTTTCCCACATACACGAATCTTTGTATTTAATTCATATGAGAGGTACTCCTCCCCCTTGGTAGTATACCAATTTATTATCCAAATTAAATTAAAGTAAATTAAAGTTCTTCGTGTAAAATTTTGAAATTTTAACTCTAATATTCAAAGACAAACAAATTTTTGTAATTATTTAGTTCATATAGGGGCTGCTACGATCCTATGAGGATACTAAAGTGGCGCGGGAAAAAATTTGAGGAATCTAGATATTATATTTTCTCAGATATACTAATGTAAGATTTTTATATCGGAGGTGCCATGCCCACTATTCTTATTAGTTAGTTAGTTAGTTAGTTAGTTAGTTAGTTAGTTAGGTTAGTTAGGTTAGTTAGGTTAGTTAGGTTAGTTAGGTTAGGTTAGTTAGGTTAGTTAGGTTAGTTAGGTTAGTTAGGTTAGTTAGGTTAGTTAGGTTAGTTAGGTTAGTTAGGTTAGTTAGGTTAGTTAGGTTAGTTAGGTTAGTTAGGTTAGTTAGGTTAGTTAGGTTAGTTAGGTTAGTTAGGTTAGTTAGGTTAGTTAGGTTAGTTAGGTTAGTTAGGTTAGTTAGGTTAGTTAGGTTAGTTAGGTTAGTTAGGTTAGTTAGGTTAGTTAGGTTAGTTAGGTTAGTTAGGTTAGTTAGGTTAGTTAGGTAGTTAGTTAGGTTAGTCTAGGTACTGAATACAGCGAAATACATACATTTTGATAACAATTCCGTTTATTTTGTATATTTCAACACAAGTTATTAACAAACCATTTTTTTCGAGTGAACAGTAACCAGGAAGTCAATTGACGCAAATCAAATGTAATTAATTTCTAAGACACTGCTTCTTTTAACTTCTTATATAATTTGAAGTAGAACGTTTTTAATCTGAAACGTATAATATTCTATAACATTTCATAAAATTATTATTATTATTTGATGGTGTTAATGCGTGGCTTTAAGGATTTAAAAATAAAAAATGAATTTTAAAATTTGTTTGTGTAGTAAATTTAGAAAACACAAATTTAAAAAAAAAAACTCAATCTTAGCCTGGATTAAATTTTTTATTAGTTCCAAAATTTTTGGAAAATTGAGTGAGCTCTAAAATTTTTAATAAACAGCCATTTAGAGTAAAGAATCAGAATCTTAAATTTGTGAAAGTAAAGTTTGTTAATTAAAATTTCAGTAATATATTGAACCATTACTTTTAGTTGTTCCTAACATATGCAGTCTAAAACTTCCGTTAACGCCTTAATAATATGTAGCTATGATACTTTTAGTAAAAGTAGACTTTAAAACCAAGCTTTATGTCAATTTTTATTTCGATATCAGAAATTCTGCCACAAAGATCTAATTTAACTGGACTATAAATAAATCCCAACATTAACAATTCAAATCAGTATCATACGATTTAGAAAAGTATTTATCAATGAATTCAATTGCTAACTGTATGCATTGACAGAGATGAAAATAAAAGTGACAAAACAGAATCAACGAAAACAAATTTCGTACTTCAATTTAATTTATTCATTAATTTTTTTAACACCTTAAATTATTTAGCATTCTTTAATTTATCGTTATATTGAGTAACCCCATAAAATATTTTTTCCCTTCAATACGATGAAATGTTAACATGGTTAAATAAAGTGCCAAACACTTACAGTACTTTGTGACCAAATGCGACTGAGAGCTGCGCAACGTAAAAAAGTGGGGCATAGTTGAAATCGGGAAAATTGTAATTTTTTAAAATGGTTTATTAAATATTACCTATAGGTTTCTAAAAATAGAATATACGATTTTATTATGGAAATTAATTCAGATAAAATACATTAGAAAATGTACCACAAAATGGAGTTGGTGCTGATACAATTTCTAAAGTTTTTTTGTCCTGACACCAATATTTGGTGAGCAGAGTTAAAGGATAAAAACGTAATGACATCAAAATTTTCAATTGCTGGTTGAGAACTGAGGGCCTTTAAAAAAATATATTTTTTTATTTTTTCGTATTTATAGTGCATTAATACGCATCATTTGAGAGGTATTCCTACAGAAGAGTGGTTCACGGAACACCCTATTATACAGTATACCCTTCTCAAGTATGATATATTCGACTAAAGAGAATCTGGTATAAGACTATGTGTAATTGTAGACCGATTTATAACCTCTGGCTCCCTTATCGTACAGTACTGAAATGTCTAGATCATAAGAAAAATACTTTCTATTATTATATATCAACGATTTATGTCGATATTTTAGAGTGATATTCTTCCCAAAAACTCTTTTGAATTTTCAATAGGGGACTTTGTATAGGGGATAGGGTAATTTAAAGCTATTTATGGTAGAGAGATTTATATTTCTACAAAACTTGTTGAAGGTGACCGATCTTATATAATACAAACGCAATGAGCTCTCAGGTATTCTTTCTTTTACGCGTACTTATGCGGTGTGTAACTTTCTGAAAGGGGAACTTACATGAACAATATATCAACAAAAGACTATAGACTAGACTATAGACTAGACTATAGACTAGACTATAGACTAGACTATAGACTAGACTATAGACTAGACTATAGACTAGACTATAGACTAGACTAGACTAGACTAGACTATAGACTAGACTATAGACTAGACTATAGACTAGACTATAGACTAGACTATAGACTAGACTATAGACTAGACTATAGACTAGACTATAGACTAGACTATAGACTAGACTATAGACTAGACTATAGACTAGACTATAGACTAGACTATAGACTAGACTATAGACTAGACTATAGACTAGACTATAGACTAGACTATAGACTAGACTATAGACTAGACTATAGACTAGACTATAGACTAGACTATAGACTAGACTATAGACTAGACTACAGACTAGACTACAGACTAGACTACAGACTAGACTACAGACTAGACTACAGTAGACTATAGCTAGACTATAGACTAAACTATAGACTAGACTATAGACTAGACTATAAACTAGGCTATAAACTAGACTATAGCCTAGACTATAGAATTGACTATGGACAAAAGACTTGACTATAGTCAAGTTTATAGATTGGGCTATACACTAGATTTACTACTGAAAAAATTACTGGTATGAACTTTTTTACCATGCCTGGTATAAACTATTGTACGACCACAAAATACCTATGTATACTTCCCTATGGAAGAAATACAAACAACAAAATGACGAATAATGAAAGCACTACGACAATTAAACTTTGGCAAATGATTTTTGTGAATGATTAGTTTTATTTGTATATACCCCCTGATAAACATTACGTAGCACCTTTAAATGAGAAAAATTCTCGGTCTAATACAGAGCAGAGAATGATATGGAAAAAAAGCAAAGCAAACAAACAAGAAAATCGGTGACATAAAGAACGTGCTGCACGTTGTCGTTACACGTGAGTCGAGTGGAAACAAAACGAATAGTGGATAGAAAAACAAAACGTTTTACTTAACGTGCATTGGCGTAAGTGGGACAGCTGGTAAGCAAAAAGAGTACGAAAGACTAGAGAAAGCTTTTTGTTCATTATTTGCAAAAAAGAAGCTTTTATTTGCTATGCCGGCTTACAAAACTCATGCAATTGCAATGTGCTGGTTTGTAAGAAAGTGCAAAAACACTTTATATTGTTGTTGTTTGCCAAAGGGGAGGGGGTAATGGTAGGAGGTAATAGTTTGTAAACAAACACAGTTAGCTGCAAGTACTCGCAAGTTAGGAGAGTCAATTCAACAAATATTTAAATCACTCACAGTTGAAACGACCAAGTGAACGGATGTTGTAAACGGAAAACAATTTCCAAAGTCTTTTCTCACTTAGAACAACAGTTTTAAACATAAAAATTTGTGGAAATTTTTAAAATAAAATTAATAAAATTTTAAAATATTTAATTAAAATAAATTTCTTAAAAAAAAGAAATTATTAAGAAAAGAAAAAACTACAAACAATTAATTTCTCTTAAAAATTTATGGAAAATTTTCATTTTACATACAATTTGAATATATGTAGATAGTATACCAGAAAACGTGACTTGTTGAATAATAACAAATGCACAACAACAAAAGATTTTACAAAAATAGAAATCACGTTGCAAATTTATGTAATTGTTCAAATATTTAAATGTCAAAACTAAATTCTAGTTTTAAACAATAAAAACCAATAATCAATTAAAGAAAATTTTGGGAAAAAAATTTAAAATATAAAGCAAAACCTGAAAAACAAACAAGTGAAAAAATGTCAAACAAAAGAAAATTGCATAAAATGTTTTAAAGAAATAGAAAAATAAAAACAATTAAAAGCTTGTGTTACTAAATTACCAACAAAAAGCTTTAGTTAAACTTGAAATTTTTAAATAAATTAATAGTTGCATAAACAACAACAACAATAAAAACTAAATATAAACATTATCTCTACATATTATAATTAACTAAACAAAAGGTGACAGTTGACTGTGCTTAAAGCTTAAAAATATTAAAAGCCAATTGTTAATTTGCAATAACTGTATTTTACTACTAACTAAATACCTTTGAATTTAGTTCCGGAAATTAAAGTTTTTCTTTTTCCACTACACACAAATAAATTTTGGATTATTTATTTAACAACAACAAAAGAAACATTTGGTAAGTTAATATTATCTAAGAACAAGTATCGAATCTTAATAGCCTCTACCTATAAGATAATTATACCCTATAGTGTGGAGTATATTATAAGTTTGTGCTGATGTTTGTTACATGCAAAAATAATTTAAAGTATACTTCTGATAATACTTTCTGGGCCGATTAAGTCGTGTCCATCTCTCGATGTAAATCTAGTAAGTAGTCAAACTATAGGTCGCCTTTGTGCTGATTTTTGTAACACCCAAAAATATTGGCCATACACCCATATTAAAGTATACCAATCGGCTCTGAACATTTTCAGAGTCGATTTAACTATATCTGTCTGCTTGTCCCTCTGTCCATCTGTATGTCCATGTAAATCTTGTGCGCAAACTACAGGTCGAAATTTTCGCCCCAAGGACGAAGTCTATTGTTGAAATCGGTTCATTATAAGGGTCTAGAGCTCATAATTATGTTAAATTTTTTGTATAAGCCTAAATATTACTGCCAATTTTCGTATTGATCGAGCCTTGTTTAACTCCATAGCCCCCATATAAAGTCCCCTTTAAAAAAGATCTTGAAAGTCAATTTATAAACACTAGTATCACGATAAAATGTAAACTTTAATGTAAACGAAAAATCTTCTACCAACATTTATATTGTTGAAATCGGTTCATTATTTCACCTAGCCCACATACAATCGTATTTTATACCCACCATCAGAACAGATGGTGGATGGATATTGTTTTTGTCATTCCATTTGTAACACTTTGAAATATTGGTTGTAGACCCATAAAAGTATTTATATTCTGGATTCTTATTAGATTCTAAGGCGATCTAATCATGTTCGTCCGTTTGTCTGTCCGTCAGTCTGTTGAAAATACGATTGAGTCCAAACGGGACGAGCTAGAGAGCTGAAATTTTGTACAGATATTTTAAGTTGATGGAGGTTGGTATTGAAAATGGGCAACATCGGTCCTTGATTTCATATAAAGTCCCTTTTAGAAAATGTCTATAATGCAGACAACTGATTTCAAAAAGCATGTATATGTAGCAATGAAATTCGACATAAACATATTTTATTGGAACCGAAATTTTTTGGTCAAATTTTATAAGGATCGGCCGATAATTGACCCCTATATAAAGATCCCATCAACTCGTCCATAACTCGCTTAAAAATACTAGTATTGCAACAAAATTCTACATAAACAGGTTTTATGAGAACTAACGCTTAATTTTGTAAGGATAGGACCAAATTTTTTTTTGAAATTTGTTTTCTATTGCAAATACTTTTTACGACGAGAAAAACTCATGAACTTTTGGGCATTTTAAACAAAAATGGAATAAAGGGAAAGAGTTTTTCATTTAAGAAAAGTAGTAGTATTTTTAAAAAGTAGTATTAAATAAAACTACTGAAATATCATTAAGAAAATCACGACTTTCTATTCGATTTCGAACTTTTAAGGGATATTACCGAGATATTAACTGAACTTAATTTAAAGTTCAACTAATCTATCCAAATCAATGTTTCCTTTATATTCCTTAATACGCAATAAGTCACCAATGTGTTGATCGGTTAAACTATTCCGCAATTTACTTAAAATCAGTTTCATACTTGAGAATGCCACCTCACAGTTATATGTGGTGCCAAACATGGAATATAGCTTATATATTTCGTTTTTTAAATTGAAATATTTTGTATCATCTATCTTTTGCCAAAATTTTTCCCCAGATTCCATAGGAACTTCAAAATCATTACGCATTTTATGCAATTCTTCGTGAAGAAAAGCATCTTGCTCTTCTATTTCACATCTAAGGGGATTATCATGTATTTCTATTGTTTTTTTATAAATTTTAAGTCTTGAAATCTGTCATTGTAATTCTTTTTTATGGACTCAACTATTTTGGCGTATTTCTGAATACAATCAAACGTATTAAAATTAAATTCTATGAATATTGATGAAGTTTTCTTAAGATTTGATATACTATTACTTTTTAATTGATTTATTAAGAGATCTAATTTTGTACTAAATTGGTGAATAATTCTATTCAAATGAAATATTTTTATATTTTTACCTTGCAGGCATAAATTAAGGTCATTTAATATCTCGGTAATATCACATAAAAATGCGAAATCTAATAGAAAGTCGGGATTTTCAAGACAATTAGTAAGGTGTTTTGTATCTTTATTGGATAAAGTTTTTAAAAATTCGAGTACTTCTTTTCTTAAATGGAAAAGTCTTTCCAAACTTTTGCCTCGAATTAGCCAACGGACTTCGGTATATAAAAGTAAATCTCCATAATCCGAATTAAGGTTTTCTAGAAAATCTTTAAATTTTCTGTGTGTCAGAGAATTGTGCCCCCCTCTTATTATATTTATTATTTTTACAACAACATCCATTGTATTTTTCATACCCAACTCTTTGGAGAAAAGAGCTTGTTGGTGTATGACACAATGGAATGCTGGGCAATTTATTCCATTTTTGTTTAAAATGCCCAAAAGTCCTTTATTTTTGCCTCTCATTACCTTTGCTCCATCCGAACATATTGAGGCTAATTTATTTTTGTCAGCAAATGCAAAAACATTAACATCTAATGCATCATACAGAACTTGTCCTGTTACATGACCATGAAGTGAAACCACTTCAAACATTTCTTCGAAGCACTCTAAATTTGCATTAACTGTTTTAATACAAATAATTAACTGGCAAATATTATTGATATCCGTACTCTCATCTAGAGAAATCGAAAAATATTTGCAATTAATTAATCTTTCTTTTGCTGACATTTTAATAAATTTGCTTATATCTTCCGTTCTTCTTGTTATAGTACGACGAGATAATGGTATATCCTGGCAGAGTTTCATGGCATTTTTCTGCAAAACAACTCAAAATATCTGTAGTTAAATTGAAGAAAAAAATGCCATCCTCAAATGGGCGACATTGTTTTGCTAACATAAGATGCCTTTTTATGAGGCAATGATTTTTTTTGGCTATTTAAAGGAACATTGTTGCAATTATTTGCTGTTGTTTCATTAATTATAAATTTTAAGAAAAACTCTGCTTTTAATTGCAACAACTTTACTTTTCTGTCATGTCCCCTAAGGTCATTTAAGGGTCCATGGCAAGTTTCATAATGCCTTTTCAAAAAAAAATAAAGCTTTTCTACATATAATTTTATAACATACGACGCATTGTGCTTCACCGTCCATGTTTTCTATAAAAAAGAAATCATTTTCCCAATTTATATCAAACATTTTGCTAGGTGTAATAAAAGAGAAAAAATCATAAGCATAAAAAAATCCGCAACGTGATCTTGCTTCTACAAAAGCTGAACAGCAACTGATTTGATTTTGATCTCTGAGATCGTAACAAAGCAACAAACAAGTGGTCATTTTAGTAAAACACAGACACACTAATACACACAAGCTTATAGTGTAGGTGTGTCAACAAAGCGTCAGCAGAATTTCTTGGCCTATACACGCGTGCATTAGAATTTCAGTTTTGCTCGTGACTGATCTATATATATAAAAGAGTAGCGTTACTGACTGACTGATTCATCATCGCACAGCCCAAACGGCTGAACCTAGAATCATGAAATTGTGACAGTAGATGTGTTTTTGGTTATGTAGATCCACTAAGGAGGGATTTTAGGAAATTTGTACATTTACGGGTAAAAAGGGGAAAAAACGGGTAAACAGGTTTTCTTAATTATCTTCACAATATTAGTGATACAAGAAACATTTTAAATGCAGCTGTATCTACTCTTAAAATGAGCAGATGGGTGTCTGGTACTTTTTTGAAATTCGTACTTTTAAGGGGTGAAAATGTGTAACAAAGGTGATTTTGGTAGCTTTTTTGGCCCTTTATAACTTTTTAACTAATTAATATAATAAAATTTTTGTAAATATTTTGGATATATCTCCCAAAATAAGGAGACACCTGTTTCGTACTTTTTTAAAGTTCAGTCCTTTTTTGGGTGTAAAAGGGAGAAAACTGTATTTATGGTACTTTTTTTTAGCACATTAGGAAAACTTTTTCGGTTTATTGAACTATTCCTATTAAATTACGGACTATTTATTGTAATAAAATTTTTGCTATTTCACTGGGAAAAAAAGTACCAAAAAGGGAAAAAACAGGAAATTTAATTTTATTCAAACTCATTGAGCCAATTTTTATAAAATTTGAAAAAGTAGTTTATTTAGTCACACAAAATAAGCTGTTGGTATACTATTTTGGAATTTGAGTACTAAGGCTTATATAGTACTCGAATTTGTAAATTGTTTGGTACTTTTTGAAAGCACTATTTTTCTGGAACAAATGAATGCAGATTTTAATCGTTTGAGTTTTATCTGTGATATATAGATTTAAATACGGAACATTTTGTAAATTTAATTCTCGAAAAAGTATATTTCTAAGCGAAAAGGGGAAAAATTGTATTCTTTATTATGTATGTTCTTTAATATGAATTCAAAACACATGATTATTAAACATACACGGTCCTCATTGAATAAGATTCTTTAAGAGAAAACTTTTTAGTGCTTTTTATCTCATAAATGGTACTTTTTTAATTTTCTAAAATATTTAACCTAGGAACATTAATTTTAACATACATGGTCTTGACAGAATAATATTCTGTAAGTGGGAACTATTTGGTACTTTTCTATTCTTCAAATGGTACCTTTTAGATTCTTTATAATGGTTAACCGGAATACACAGTCCTTATTAAATGAGAATTTATTAAGAGAGATTTTTGCACTTTTTCGTTTTTCCGATGGTTCTTTTTGATATTTTTACGATATTGAAAATACAATTTAAAATGTAGGGACCTTAGTGAATGAGAATCTACTGAAAGAAACTTTTGGTACTTTTTCATTCATTAAAATTATATTTTTTGAATTGAATATAATATTGAACACAGAAACATACATATTTTTGATTAAATGATAATCTATTAGAGGTATTTTATAGTACTTTTTTTCAAGTAGTACTTTCGAAATTTTCTATAATGTGGAAGCTAAATGA